TTCATATTCTGACTCATTATCTCTTGCAGGTATATTGTTGTCATCAGCCTCATGATGTGAAGATGGTTGTGCAAATGACATGTTTGCATCTCCATCATCTGTTGACTGTCTAGAGTTCAAAGCTTCTCTCATAGCCTGAAGATACTCCTCATCATCTGTCCCTAAATCTTCATCAGACAAACCATCATTGCTTGAAGATTCACCAGATGGTTCATACTCCTCATCCTCACTTTCATCTAAAGCAAACTCACCCAGCTTTTCACTAGTATCCTTTGCTTGGTGTACTTCAGCAACTTCAGATACCCTATTCCTATTTGACTTTTCTTGTTCACAAACAGCAGCAACTTCAGGTACCCTATTCCTATTTGACTTTTCTTGTTGACAAACAGTAGCAACTTAGGTACCCTATTCCTATTTGACTTTTCTTGTTGACAAACAGCAGCAACTTCAGGTACCCTTTTCCTATCTGACTTTTCTTGTCGACAAACAGAAACCACAGACGGTTTGTTCAGTTGTTCAGTTTGCACAAATGTTTCAACATATCTTCTGTTTCTCTGCAATTGACCCAAACATGCCATAACACCAGCATCATCTTTTATATCTTGAAACTCATGAGTTGTCCGATGCTTATAACATATTCTATCCCAGTTTTCATATCCCAGCTTCTTTATTTGATCTTCGATGTCAAAATAACCTAGCCTATCTGCATCCAACCCAGTAACCGTGGCAACACAATCACCATAATAATACTCATGCCCTTCGAGAGTGACAAATCTACCCTTGTGATTGATTAATAACATAAAGAAATCACTGCAAAATAAAAAAATCGAAAATTTTTACCAATTCAAACCCTAAAAAAACTAAAATCAATTGAACATTTCAACTCTGAAAAGGCATTTACCTTGCGACCATGATGTTAACAAGTTCTTGTGTATGCTCACGATAATCGTCACGAACATATGGAAGACACACCCTTGTAATTTTAGAGCAAATAAAAAACCTAGGGTTTGGAAATGAAAAATCGGGAAGGGGATTTGGGGAAAATGAACGATTGTGGTGAATTTGGGGAAGAATCGTGTTTTATACTAAGGTTATTGCCACCTGGACGCTGAATCGGACGCCCGTTTGGTGTTTCCGTCAAGTTAAATTGCCACATCACACTTCCGTTGACGGCATTTAGAAGTATGTATCGGGTTGCCAAAATTGTAAAGGTCATGTATTTTTCTGACAAGGTTTGAAGGTCGTGATTAAATTGCCAAACGCGTAAAGGTCGTGTTAATTCCCGCCATTTTGCCAAAAATAAAAGATATAAATATAAACTATATAACATACATATCAATCAATATACTGGTTGCAATAAGGCCTAATTGCACGTAAAACCATGACCTTTTGTGAAATTGCAAATAAAATTCAACATTTATAATATTAGAACAAAATCCTCTACTTTCATAATTTCTTGCAAATTTGTCTCTAAACCTTTTCTGGCCAACTCCGAACTGATATATTTGGAAAAAATGCTTATGTGGCTCTTATGTGTTAAAATGGTTCAATGGTTCAGTGGTCGGACTAATGGTCGAACCGGTTTAATGATATATATAATTTTTTATTTATTTTATATGAATAATATAAAAATAGTATATATTTTTATCATTAAGTTTATAGTGTATAATGATATTTCTCTAAATAAGAGTTCATAATAGATACAACCCATGGTGCTGCATAATGTTGATAACTTTTTTTTATTTTATTTTTTATATTTTGTCTATATTTAAGCTACATAATTGAGATAGTAGTGTTGGGATATGCTGTAAAAACTTGGCTTTCAGGTATTCAATTCCATTTTGATATGGCAATCACATTTTAGTCAAGGTACTTATGTTTACAGTTTATTTATTTATGCAATCATAGCTCATTTATTTTACATTGTATATAGTAAGGTTCGTTGTGTCGAACAGAAAGATCATACTATCGGTTCCTTGTAATATGTGAACTAATTGTTCATTGTCTAGACAGGTAGTGAGACCCTGTTGAAAAAAAGAAGTAGTGTAAGTCTTGATTTGGTTGGTCTTTGACTGATGAATTACTCTAGTACTTATGATAAGTATTGAACAAGACCGTGGAAGGATAGGATTATAAGATTACTGTTCGTAGTTATAATCTAGACCTTCAGTAATTGATGCGTATTATTAAGCGTAAGATAATATAAAACAAGCATATATATATTCATTACTTGTTTAATTAATTTACCAGTGGTGATTCCTATTTTGCAAGGATGACATACTCGATATTTTGGTAAATGATGGTGTTTATATGATGTGCTGTTATAAATTATTTACGGTCACTATGTTCCAGTATGCTGGGTTGATGACGTCACCAAAATGAGCTCAGAAAGGAATATTATGTCAAGCCCTGCAGACGGGTGACATAATGATTAAGGATCTGAGTAGTACTAGTTTCGAAAATAAATAAGAAGTTGATTAATTATTTTGTCAGTAATTTAATTAATCAACAGACGTTATATCTTAAACATAGGGAGATAAATTGAGCAATTAGATTAATAAGTAATTATCAAATGGAGGTTCGAATTTATTGAACAAATTGAAGCTAAATGGAGAGAGCAATAATATTACTATAGTGGAATATATTATTATTTAATATTATTTCCATTCCCTAAGGAAATGAATATTCTCTCTAGAATATTACATAGGGTTAGGAAAGTATGGAGTATTCTAGAAGGTAATTTAGGGTTAAGATGAAAATGACTTCTATAAGGGAAAGGAGATGGAAGATAATTAGGATTTTTAAACTTAATAAAATAAGCTTATATTTAGCATCTCATTAAGGTCCACAATGTAGCTTATAAACACCAAGCCTCATTCTCTTCCCCACGCGTGTGTGAGATCGATTATAAGGTCATAAATGGGAGAAAAAAATTGAGTTTCATATTTTACAAGAGTTCGGAAGATCCAAAAAATTTCCAATCGAGATTTTTCGGAGTATGTGTTTAGGTAATACATTAGAAAACTTTAGGGTACAATATATATCGAGCCATATATATATATATATGTATTTCCGGCGACCCCACGATTACCAGAGTACAGGCCGGAGCTCAGGCAACCTTCGGCGACTTGCCAGAATTTTACCAGCGCCACCAGTCGCGGCCAACCCCAGGATAGCCCAACTTTTGCTCCCAGTTCGCGAACAAAGCCCTATGGTGCATAGCTCGTTTGCACAAGCCTAGGTCCCAGCGTTTAGAAGTCCAAGTGTGCGGCCCAATCCGTAGTGAAGTCCAACTGAAGTGAGCGGCCCAAGTTGCACGAGAGGCCCAATACGCTTGTGATCTAGCAGTTGAAGAGTATAAGCACGCAAGCCGCTCCAGCCGCGCAGCCCGCGTTCATCCCACGTCTCACTCACAACTATGGCCCACGCGAAGCCCGTACAACCCCCGCGCGGGCCAGTATCCAGACCCCATCTGCAGTGTGTGTTCTAGGCCAAAATAGCTCGTGTTCGCGGACCATCAAGCTCGAGCGCAGCCCAAAGGCACCTGACAGCCCAAATTAGCCCAGCGCGGGTTCAGCTTAGCCCAGGCGGTCCAGCTTGAACCAAACCAATTCCGCCCAACCCAGTGAACCGGGTTCTTACCCAAGGCGGTTCCCGAGAAATTTGAGGAGCCCGACTAACCTACCGAAGGTCCTAGACAATCCGATGAGCCCGACGAGCAATTGGGACACATTAATAAAGCCAAGTGCAACTGCGTAACGGACTCTGCGGTTCAGACAATCTCCTACAGCGGAAACAAGAAACGTTTCAGAGTCGGCAAAGATTTTAAACCGTAAGTCCAAATTCTAACTATAGATTTCACTGCATTAAGGTTTATTTTCAATAAATTTAAATGTGCACATAGTCGGATCCTAATAGAACCCAACAAATAGATCCATGTTCGCATTTTAATTTTTAAATTAGGCTTTATGTTTTTATTATTTTCAGTCTTTCTTTAACGAAAATCACAAATATTACTTTTTAAAAATATA